ACTTTTGATTCATTGGAGTCTGGGTGTTGCAAGTCTTACGCATGTCTTTAGTGGCGGTGTTTCTTGGAGCCTGTAGTGCTGATGGTCCAGGGTGCTACGGCTTGCTTTTGTGGAACAGGTCAACAGATCCAAGCTGCATGACTCTGGTGCACTGTGATGTGTCTGATGTAAGTGAGTGAGGTTTGGTTCTCAACCCAGAAACACTTCGACGGCAGGTGTAGGGAATTTGATTCTGCCAGTATCGTTGGGATATAGCCAGATAGTGCTCTGCTTGGGCATGCTGTAACTTCGAGATTTTTATTTGCTGTTACTTGAGGGTATATACCATGCTGTGATAAGTCTTCAGCACACCTCTCATACTGTCTAAAGACTTGTGTCCGTCTTTTGTACTTTCGTGTTCACTAAATTAAATTTTTATTGACCTTTCAAAAAAAAAACACCTATATAAAAAATCATCTGTTTAGATAAAAATTAAAAAAAATTGTAAAAAATAACCTTCTACATAAACTCATTTAAAAAATAACCATAAATATGAAGGTAATTATTGTTACCCAATTGTAGCCATGTGATAACTCTATTATATAGAGTTATCATAAGCATCCTTAGAGCTTGAATTTCGCTACGTCTTCTATTTTTTTTATCCTTAGGTAGTTTCTAGTTTTCTTTTTAGAAATAAAGTTTTATTTATGCAAGTCTACCTTAATTTCTTGCCAAAATCTCTCAATTCAACCTTTGATTATTTAATCCCTTAATGTTGAAGAACATGCAAAGACTTTGAGCATGAAAGCAAAGGAAGGTGCAATTAGGCTTAAAAGCAAGCAAACATACTGAACTTTTTGATGCATAAATTGAGTTGTGGAAGTTTGATAGAGGTGAATCTTGAACCAATGGAAAGCTGAGAGGATGAGCTACAACTTTGATGTTCAGCACTTGGCCCAAATTAGAAGGAATCATGGCCGAAAATGAAGTGAAAAGTGTAGGCAGCTTGAAGGAGAAAAACAGGGAAACAAAACCTCCAGCGCTGCAGCACCAAGTTTCCAGCGCTACAGCACTGTCCAGTGAAGCAAAGAGGTCCAAGTTAGAGAGTTTCCTGCTGCAGCGAGAACCATTCTCACTGCAGCAAAATATTGGGCATGTTAAGTCAGAAGGATTTTCGCTGCAACGAAATTCTATTCTCGCTACAGCAAAAATGAAGCAATTTGCAATACCAAGTCAGGAACAAATTCACTGCAGCGAGAACATGTCAGATAATGAATATTCCTGCATGGGTTTTTAGGGCAAGCTAAAAAAAGAGGGGGTATAAATAGAAAGTTTTGCACTGAAAAAGAAAGGGATTTGAAGAGACCATTTTTGGCAAAAGAAGGCAAGAACAAAAAGGGAAAAAGGAAGAGGAATCAAGAGCTGGAAGATTCAAAAGCTGGAACACAATACATTATCACTCTAGATTTGATTCTCTCTCTCTTACTTTTTTTGTAAAATAATGTTTTTGTTTGTTGATATGCGTACTTTCCTTGTGAATATGTTGAGCTAAAGTTTTTAAACTAAGATTATGGTGGATGCTATTGTGTAGTTGGATTTTGGATTCTTCCTCTATTTGCTTTTACGAGAATATCAATGGTTCTTCAAATTTATTCTTATTGTCTAATTTGTTGCTTGATCACCAGCAAGTTAAGTATGGAGTTTTAGACTAGGCTTGAGAAGGACAATCTAAAAGGACACAAATTTGAGTAATGTATGTTCATCCTATATTAAGAAATTAAGTGGGTGATTAATTAATAGGATAGACATATACCTATTAATCATACATAATCACTATAGGTCCTAAACTTAGTGAACTTAGCTTTAGTTAATGTTCTATAGACATATAGATAGTTAATGAAGCTAGGCAATTGTGTGATAACTTGACGGAGTACCATGCATGCTTAAGGAACCTAGACTAACATTGATTCTCATAGAAAGTAGGTAGTTGATTGATCTTGTATCCTTACAAAGCAATAGCTGAAACCATAGTCCTAGGTCTTAATTATATTGTCTCCTCACTACACATTTAACTTGCAATCCTTAGGTTAGAGTAGACTTTTAGAGTAAATTTTATTTCAATTTTAGCAACTTGTTCTTCTTGTTGCTTGGATAAAACTTAGCTTGTTACAATTTTAATAATTAGTAACAAATAGTAAATCAACTCCTCAAGAGATTGAGGCTAACCGCAAATACAAGTATATAGTGAATTCAAGTTAGCAGATTGTCAATCTCTGAGTCTTCTGGAGCTTAGATACTACTATCTACTGTTACTATACTTAATTACTTAGTTGCAGCATCTGTGTGCACTTTCACGTAATTCCTGCTGGTAGGAAGTATCTATAGTCGCTCATTACAAATTTTGAGCATAATCCATATCAAGCAAAAGATTTATTTATTTCAAAACAAGCAACACCATGAGATGACAAAAATATCCTTAAAACTATTTCAGACAAATTAATGGTCTGTTTGTTTTGCAGTAAAATATTTTTCGAAAAGCGTTTTAAGACTTATGCTTGTTTGGAAGACGAAAAATTAATTCTAAATGTAAAATATTTTATGAATTAATAGAGTTAACCACAAAAAATGTCTCACACCCTTTAAGGCCGTAAGCCATCTGGTGTGAGACATTTTTCAGAGAACAACCAAAACACTTTTATACTAAGTTTATAAGTATAAATTTGATGAATATTAATATTTAACTTAAAATATAAAAAAATTAATTTCAAATATTAATATTTAAATTATACAACACTATTAAAATTAAAAAATATTTTTTAATGAAACCATTCAATACAACTAAATTTTTTTAATTTATAAATGAAATAAATCTTACTAATAACTATAATAAAAAATATTTTAATGATCGTCATTTAATGAATACATATTTAAAAATATAAGTTTTGGATATCTTACACAATTGATAAATATTTATATTTTTATAGTTATGATAACAAAGTGATAAAGATGGAAATTTTTTTTGAAAATTAGAATTTATTTCATTACAGATATGTGGTTAAATGCTTTGAAAAATATCATTATTGATTTTGTTTATTTTCATTTTCATTCTTAATTTTGATCCTAAATAAGTAAAAATCAAATATCAATATTATTTTGTAATCAACTCTTATTTATTATTTTAATACCTAAATAACTCCAATAAAAAATATTTTCCATAAAATAATCTAAATAATAAAAAAATTTTCGATAGTTTATCCAAACAACAAAACAAATTAAATTTTCTTACAAAAAATTTTACACAGAAAAAATTTTCCTCTAGCAAGTTATTTGTCGATTACCAAATGGACCCTAAATGCTCTCAATTTTTTTTTCCTACCATTCTCTCTGCTCTGCTCCCATTTTTTCTCTCTTGCCATCCAACTCTTTTTAATTTTACTGCCATCATCATCTTTTTTTATCAATCTTTTGGTATCTTGATTATTATATTATTATCGATTTACAAACTAAAGAACATGATATGAAATGTAACAATATATTTTTAAGTTTATTGATTTACATTCACAAAACTCTCTCTGTCTATCTCTCACAATCTCTGTCTATGGACCTTTCGAAGATGACAGACATCTTTCTATTAAAGAAAAAAACTCAATGCACAAGAATTAAATATCAATGCAAAAGTCTAAATCTTCTACATTATGTTGCCCCTACGTTTTGTTCTGATTTTAGTTCACATTTAAACCTGTTTCTCAAAGAAATACCACATTCATCATGGGGCTACATCCTACCTATGAGGGTGTTATTTAATGATTTCACAAAAAATTTTCAAAAAAAAAAAGAATTATATATGAATAAGGTGAGGTTAATTTTTTTTAATCTAGTTTTTTAGTCATATAGAAATTTATTAGGCTTAAGCTAGGAAATAGAAAAGTAAATTTTTTTCTCATCTCATTAATATCACTTTTCTTTTAAAGAAATGGAAAGTTTGTAAACGAACACCGCGAGACTTTTTATTTTTGGTGTTGTTATGTAAATTTTTTCTCATCTCATTAACGTCACTTTTCTTTTAAAGCAATGGAAAGTTTGTAGACGACCAAACTTATTGAGAATTGATATTGATGTCTTTTGAAAACACAAAAAACGTGTCATCAATTTCGGCACGGCAACTATTCAACGTGATACTTCTTTTCCATGCTCATCTCCCACCTCTTTCCTTAGTACGATGTAACTCTCAAGACAATCTTAACCACTATTGTCCTAGGCCGGCTGGAAATCCTCTGCCCCTTTTCCTTGCCACGTGTCTCTGAGATTAGGTTTCTTTTAAAACTTTGTTTACCTATATAAAAAGCGTTAGTTATCGACAGCTTTACTTTGGACTGGGTTTTTTGAGTCTATAAATTCGGTTGTAAAAGAACAATTTCTAGGTTGTAAAAGTTGTATAACTTGTGCTAGATTCAGTTGGGGAGAGACAGAAAGAAACGAAATTGCAGAGTTTTCATTTCTTTGAATTGGGGACATTTTTACCCTATTCCGTCAGTCATGAAATGGTCAATAACAAAAGGAAAAGGGAATGACTAAGCCTTTCTATTTTGGGAATAGCCATTCAGTAAAAAGCAACCAAACAAATTAATGCAACAGTAGTCCGAAGGAACAAAGCGAAAATAAAGAAAATAAAAAAGGCTAGTGGTTAATAAAGAAATTCACACTGCGCACTTCGTTTCCTATTTCTATTCAATCCCTTTCTTCATTCATTCACGATATAGCTTAACAACAACCTAATCTATATAGTCGACGAAAAAAATAAAGGGTACATCATCTCGGCACGGCAAGTATTCAACGTGACACTTCATTTCCATTATCCTCTCCCATCTCTTTCCTTAGGACGATACCACTCTCAAGAAAATGTTAACCACTATTGCCCCAGGAAAAGAAAACCAAAACGTTTTTCTTCAGTTCTTTGACTTGTAATACTTCCACAATAAACAATTCCCACGACTCGTTCCTTTGCTATAAATATCACTTTCACTTGCAAATAACTTAAGCACCCAACACTCGAGTCCACGACGTCCATGCCATGGCACCATCGTCCACTTCCTTAGTGTTTACTGTCCGAAAATGTGAACCGGAACTTGTTGGTCCGGCCAAGCCCACCCCTAATGAGTGCAAATGGTTATCAGACATTGATGACCAACAGAGTTTCCGATTCCAAATTCCGGCGATCCAATTTTATAGGTACAATCCTTGCATGCAAGGGAAGGATCCTGCTATGATTGTAAGGGAGGCACTTGCACAAGCTCTAGTTTTTTATTATCCATTGGCTGGTAGGCTAAGGGAAGGGCCTAACCGCAAGCTTATGGTGGATTGCACTGGGGAGGGTGCCTTGTTTGTCGAGGCTGATGCTGATGTTACCCTTGAGCAATTTGGCGATGCCCTTCAACCACCATTCCCTTGCTTACATGAGCTCCTTTATGATACCCCAAGCTCCGAAGGGATGCTAAATTCTCCGTTGTTATTCATTCAGGTACATGTTTATAACTCCAAGTTCTTATCAGCAATGGGGTCAATATTACCTTTTAAATACAACAAAATCAAAAAAGTTAAGCACGTATTGTAATTTCTTGCACTTCAAGTTAATTATTTTGTTTATTTTTTATAAGCAAAAGGAATTATAATATTAAAAAAGATAAGTATACAAAGTAGATGAAAGTATACCAAAATAATAAATAAAAAAAACTTAAGAGATACATAAATATAGTTTAATATCAATATCAAATCTCAGATATTGTTCATACACTCCTCGATTAAGTCATCAATCAATTTATCTGTAGTTTGAGGTATTTACTCAAGATTAAGACCACGAAATTTGGGGTCCATCGGAACTCTATTTCACTCCTTTGTGCTGATTCTCTATTGATTCATGACTCTTCTGTCCTCCGATATTTTCTTGATTGCTGGTTGCCTTTGATTCTTTCTCTTTTGGCGCTTGCTGCTTATTTGATGGCTGTTATTGCTTTTATGTCCTTTCTGGTTGGATTGTGCCTGCTCTGCCACCAGGTCTCTCGTGTACTTCTCCCTTCAGCTAGACCACCACGACTCTGTTTTTGCTGCAGCATCTTGTTGCTTTCCCAGCCACAGCTCCTTATGTTTCATTGTTCTGTTTCTATTTTCCAGACAGATATTTGCTTTTCTTCTGATTTTATATATCTTTCTCTTGGCTGAACAAAAAAAAAAAGACCACGAAATTTCAATATAGAGAAAACAATTAATTATTTATCAGCTTAATGCACCATATTAAAGTTAAAATTTCAAATTAGGTGATTTTACTCTCGTACGACGAATTTGCATAGATATGGTAAAGCAGCTTTTAGTTTATCACTTTGTTTTTTGATCGAGTCTTCTCGTACAAATTAATCAATAGGTAACACGGTTGAGATGTGGTGGTTTCATCTTCGCCATCAGCCTTAGCCACGTAATGAGCGATGCTAGTGGCATGATACAATTCATGTTCGCTATGGCCGAGATAGCGCATGGAGCTGCCCCTTCAATCCCACCCGTGTGGGCGAGGCACCTTTTAGATGCTCGAGATCCACCACGAGCCGCATTCACGCACCGCGAGTACGACCAAGTTGAAGCAGGCTCCATCACACCATCGGAAAACACGGTTCAGCGTTCCTTTTTCTTTGGTCCCAACGAAGTTTCAACTCTTCGCAGGCTCCTACCCGAACACCTTCGTAAGTGTTCGAGATTCGAACTCTTAGCAGCTTGCTTATGGCGTTGTCGAACCATTGCTATAAAACCTGATCCTGAAGAAGAGGTGCGCATGCTATCTATGGTTAATGTACATCGCAAGTTCAATCCTCCATTACCGTCAGGATATTATGGTAATGCTGTCGCCTTTCCAGCCGCAACAACAACAGCTAAAAAACTTTTCCAGAACCCGTTAGAGTATGCTGTAAAACTGGTGAAACAAGCCAAGGAGAGCGTGACCGAAGAGTATGTGAAATCAGTGGCGGCTTTAATGAGGATTAAGGGTCGACCCCATTATCCAACGGCGAGGTCTTGTGTAATATCGGATTTAACACGTGCTGGATTTAGAGAAGTTGATTTTGGGTGGGGTAAAGCAGTGTATGGAGGGCCTGCAAAAGCTGGGGTGGGTGCTACTGTACATGCGCCGTCAAGCTTCTTAATTGCAGTCAAGAATAAGAAAGGAGAGGCTGGAATCGCGATGCCAATTTGTTTGCCAGTCCCGGCGATGGAAAGATTTGCCAAGGAATTGGATAGCATGTTGAAGGAGCAGCTACTTGAGGTTGAGAGTAAATCAGTTTTTATTTCATCTGCTTTGTAAAATTATAGAAAAAATGGGTAATTTAGAAAAGAGGAATAAATTGAACCTGAAGGCATAAAATGTGTGATGTGGTGCTGTATTTCTCCACAGAGGTAGACAACTGCTGAACTGAAAAGTGTAGTCTTTGTTAACTTTCAATGCAAAAATATTTATTTTCTCCTTTATGTTGAGACTTTTTTCTTTCCTTTGAGTTTGAGTAATATTTTTAGCTCCTTTTGTTAAAAAAAAAAGTATTAAAAGAAATAAAGAAAATGCATAGTAAGTTAAAAAATTAGAGGATCGAGATGCAGCCATGGGTTCTTTTGAAAACAACATCATAAGAGACACTAGAGTGGTCCCTCCCTATGCGCGGGTGTATTTTTGATAAAAAATAATTTTAAATTACATAATATCATAAATAAAAATAATAATAGTAATTTTAAATTTAAAAAAATTATAAATAATAAAAATAAATTAAAGATAATTATTTTAAAATATTGATATTTTAAAAATATTTACCCATGTCTTATTAAGCAAATTTTTTTTATTTAAATAATTTTTAATTTTTAAAAATATTTAATTTTTTTAATACCTTAATATAATCATATTTTTGTTTATTACGATGATTCTAATAGTGAAATTAAATTAAAATTATCAAAATTTAATATATTCAAAGTCATTATTCATAAGCCACATAATTTGTATGGGTAGCCAAATAAGAAAAAGCTGCATAATTTATATAATAAAATTATTAAAATAAAATGAATATTTTTTTGAAAGTCAAAATAAAATGAATATTAATTATGCATATTAAAATTTTCTTAATTTTAGTGATGAAATTTTGTAAATTATCTTCAATTTTAATTGCTACTCTTTTATGTTATGCCTTCATAATTATTTAGAATTAATCCACCTTATGAAATTAATTTTGGCACCCCTCAATAATTTTAGTAAGTCATTATTAACTTTATTCAATTAATTATTTTACTTTTTATTACTTATTAAAAAAATAGTTTTATTTTTTCATTCTTACCTTTTTTTTAAAGTAATTTTATAAATTTAATCCATGCATTAAAAAAGAAATTACATAAATAAAATAAATTGGGTAAGGTTAAAGCTAAACAGATTTGGACTCGACTGAATCTAACTCACCTCTTTTTATATATATATATATATTCATAAAATAACAATAATGTTTCAACTTTAAAAAAATATTGATGTAGCAACGTTCTTTGTGTATATGTTTCATTTATTTGTTGTGCAATAGTACTCGAATTAAGACATGCAAACAAAATATCGCTGCACCCGTGGACCCTACAGCATTTGCAGAGGCAGTAGTCCACATATATTTGGATAATGTTGGTGATATGGTATATACCACAATGCTCCATCGTTTCATTTAAGTTTAAACTTAAGCATAAATAATTTCTTTCCTTGTTTTTAATTTAATATAGAATATAATTATACGATTTTTATAACTAACTCTATCTAAATGTAAAAAACGGAAGGAATGAAAGAGAGAGACTTTCTTCAAAATTATAATAATAAATAAAAGAGGGAGTGGGATGATTAGAAATACATGGGACTAGTTAGAGGGCTCAACGTGAATGTTGACCATTTTCACTTACCGTGAACTCTCTCTCACTCATCGAATACCCACTTCTTTATGATGACGTGGTCAAATCTAGAAGTAACTTTGGATCTTCCTTTTATGTGTGTAATGTTACAGATGTGTCCCCAATCCAGCAATAGTTTATTACATCGTCGGTTTTGGACTTGGACAATCTTCGGGAGAGTTGGCCCAATTTCTTGAATTCCCAAGTGCAAGACAAATGTGCAACTTCCGCTCAGGATTTGAAGCCCATCTTCCCTTGGGCATTTGCGTTTGCTCTCACCACCCGTTTTCGTCTTCAAAACATAAACTAAAAATCACCCCAAAAGCGAGAAACCAGCTTCACCTTCCCCGACCCTTAAACCTCTCCAATGGCCAAGACGCTAATAACAACTCGCCCTTACATCATCTTCTCATCTACAAAAACCAATCTTTTCCTCAAATCCTTCCCACCCTTTACCCACTCCAGCAAGTCTTTTACCTCTCAAGCCACACTCTTGGCAACCAAAAACCACTCAAATTCAGGCTTGTTTTGGTCTTCCGAAATTAATAAACCAATAAACAATGACGATAAAAACAACAGGGTTGTTTCAAAACCAGGTTTTGGAATTCTGGGTCACCGCAAATTTTCCATCAAAGCCACTCATGTTAATGATCCTGGCTCCATCGATTCCCTTCTCATGCAATCTATGGAGAAAAAGGTAACATTTTTTTCTTTCTTTTGTACTCTTATTCTGTTGGGTTTAACTTGGATTTGATTTTTTTTTTAGTGGGGGCGGGGTTGGGGATTGTATTTTGTTGTTTCTGTTTAGCTCAGTTAAATGGGGTATATTGTTTTTTGATTGTTGCTTATAATTCATTTATTAATTTTTCTACTTTATCTTAATGCCAATAAGTTGCATAATTATGTTAGGCTCTAAGTTTAATTTGTTGTCAAGTTGATCGATTATTAGCTATTGACACTCTGTAATGCAATCTGTGAAGCTGATGGAAAGGATATCTTATTGTTGAAAACAAACAAACAAAAGAAGACTTTTTGGAGTATGAAAATGAAAGGCTTTCTAAATTAGTTTGTTCTCTTTATATTTCAAATGCAAATGAAGACGAAGAACAAGATGCATGGCATTGATTTTCTTTGCTTTTCGGCATTCTTTTTTGAAGCTTACAAGTTTAAGATTCAAAATGTTTAGTCTTTGTTTGCATAAAATCTCAAGATTCCCAATTGAAGTAATGCATAGAGAAAGAAAATATTAGTAGTTACTAGTTGATCATTGTCTCTAAGGCTAGTTTCTGAAAAACTTTGTTAGCCTAGAAGGTTAGTGTCATAATTCACCCTTGTAGTAATTATAGACATTCTTTGTGTCGTACTAATGTGATTCAAACCAAAAGGGGAATATTACTATTTATTGGCTTTTATCTTTACAGTCAAATCTTTGCATTTCATCTACCATATAATTTAAGAAAATCCTAAGGCACACTTTGTCAAGCCCTAATCTAGATTTGAAGAATTGCCTCCACAGCATCAGGACTTTTTACAACAAATTACTTTTAACTTCGCCAATCAATTTAAACTTGAGGTAACAAAGGCGTAGACATCCCTCTTGATTTTGCTTTCTCACTGTTATTCGTAGACTAAGTTCTTTTTTCCCCCATTCTAACGTTGATTTTTTTTTGTCCACTGTTATTCATAGAGTAGTAAATTCTTGTCTACTTGGTCTGTGGTTTATTGTAGTTGATGATTTATTTTGCTTCCACAGATCAAGGAACATTTAAATGCAGAATCAGTCATTGTAAAAGATGCATCTGGAGATGGCCGACATGTTTGGTAAGCCATGTTTTCATTGGTTTTATTGGTTGATTGACCAAAAACACTTATTAAGAGATGCACTGCCTTCTTGCTTCCTTAATACTGTGGTTGCAAGTAAGTAGTAGTTAAAAGTTGTGGTGAATCCATACAATTAGTTGTTTTGTGTACTCAATAAGTATTCTGATGCACCATATGAGATTGCTCTGTTATCAGCGAGAAAATCCTTCGCTACTTCCATAGATGTGCAGCAATGACAAGCGATTGTGAATTATGTCCCAAGTGTTAGGATATGATGCTATGTTATGCTTGTAAGTAATAAATCATAATGAAGGATTCATTACTATGGTGCTGAGGTCACATTATGAGCGTCTAAAACGTAAAATAAATAATTTTGTTACTTGAGCTATTGGGACTTCTATAAATTCTCTAAATTCTTCCTTATACGACAAAAGTGCCACTTTGCCTCAACAGATGTGTCAATATGAGTGAGGATATGGGGTATGGTTGTATGGAATTGGACATGGATGTTGTGGGCTTGTCGCAGACTACCACAAATTGTGCAACATTGAGGGTTGAGGGGAAGTCAAGCTCACCATTTTGCAGGTTCTTTTGGATTCTAAGAAGTCACTGAATTGGTGGACGTCTGCTTTAAACAAATCTTTATAGTATCTTTCTTTGTTGCAAAAAAAAAACATGTAAATCATTACAACTATAAGACTATTAATATATTGGAAAATATTATTGCTCTCATTAGTTCTATGGTGCAAGGATGAGTCTGAGGCCAGTTAGTGAAAGACTGCATGTTCAACTTGAGTACAGCATTGGATTGGAAAATGTTAAAAGATAGAAACTAAAATAAGAACCATATCCAAAATTATTTTTTGCAAGAACAGTTATCATGGGCCTAATAGAGCACAATAGCTTTCCTTTGTTGCAAATTTATGCACTCTAATAATTACCAATACATAATTCCCAGAAACTTCATTTTTATTACATGTTCTAAACGTGCCTGAGTCCATTTGAAATTATCGTCTTACTGTTCTTAGTGGGACATGATATAAGTGCATAGCTTATGTTTGAATACATGTAAAATTTATATTTTGTAAGGTATCATTTTAGCAGTTTACAGGGTAGTCACAATATGAAGTTGGGAGTTTGATGAATGGATAAAGACTGAAAGGTGAAGCATGAGTGCTGCCCCTAAATATTTTTGCATTCTCATAAGCTGGTATTGGATTTGATCATGGAGGTCTAATGAACTTTTAGGCTGGAGACCAAGTGGGGTCTTTCCTTAATATGTTTGTACTATAAAGATTGATTTGTTGGACTCCATGTATCTGATTATCTGGAATGGCTTGTCTCTGAGAACTATGATGCAGCACAAATATGGCAAGATAATTAATGCCGTCAATACCTACTTAGCAGTAACAAAGTCTCAATTACCTTATAAATTGTTGGGCTTTTTGGTACGAGGTTTATTTCTGCTTAAGAATTTGAATGGCTCAGTTCACCAACTCTCATCAGTTGCACATGTGCTCACATGACCTTTTCTTTAAGTTTCAAAATATGATCAATGAGACTTGCTTTTTGTGTGCAGAAATTGCATTTGTACAAAGTGCAATTCATCTTATTTTGGTGCTTACAGTGTGCTTGGCTTCACACTTTGCACAATTCCTGGACTGAATTTATTTTCCTTATTGCAGCATTGATGTTGTATCTTCAGCATTCGAGGGGCAATCGATTGTGAACAGGCAGAGGATGGTTTACAAAGCCATATGGGAGGAGCTTCAAAGCACAGTGCATGCAGTAGACCAGATGACTACTAAAACCCCAAGCGAAGCAGCAAGTCAGAAGTGATAAAGCAATGCCAATATTTTCAACCTGACGCCGAACTCCTTTCAATAATTTTCCATTATTTTCTTGTCTTATGATGAGTCCTCAATCTGTTTGGCTAGTAGCAATTTGTATTCTATCTCTTCTTTGTATTCCATTACCTAAACAGTTAAAACTTTTGATGGAATTAATTACTGCATAGACTAGAAAAGGGAGAGGCAATTAATTGTGGTCATTCAAACCCCACCCCACTCTTTTTTTTTCCTCCAGGCTAAGGATGGAATTTATTGCTAGTCACTACCATTGGGTATATCTTTATTTTGGGTTGGCTTTTGTCTGATATGTTTATTTATCTGCCATTCAATTTATTTTGGCTTTATAGTCACAATGGTTGCCAAGGGTGTGGATTCTGATTGCCTACGTTGTTTCTGGTAAGCTTCATTAAGTTTGAACCGTCTGGTGCAGCTAGGAATTTGGCAGGACTTGTGACGTCAGACGCATGCATGTACAAACAATGATTTTATGATGAGGTTGGAGATTCTTTATGTAGTGTTTGGTGGGAGACGAAAATGGAGGGGAATGGACAGCATCCATGTAATTTTAAGACATTTTCTTTTTCTGCTTGGTAGGGAAGAAATGCCAAAGGAAAAAAGAAAAATGGAAAGAGCTTTTCGCTTTCAAGCCAAGTGACCTTGTTCAAAATAATGGCGTCTACGTTCAATTATATGTAAGTTTAGGGTTTATGATTTAAAGTTTAAGATTAATTAAATAAATCTTCATTGCTGTGTCAATTGTGAACCCAAGATGTAATACATAATTACAATTTGCCACGACAAGATAAAGGGTTCATAATTTAAAATATACATACATACATATATATATATATATGTATATAATGTTACAATGTGTGTGTTAATTCATAATGAATGTGGAATATTAATTTGTTAAGTTTATAACCAACAGGGTAAGCACTTATTCACTAAGCACCTCTTTGGATCAATAATCTGCATAAATTATTCCATTATTATTAGTACAATCATTACCTAATCAACTAAACAACCTTTGTTTAAAACTATTTTATCCTTTGTAACTTGTGGTGGTTAAACTCTGGTTTTTAAGAGCTATGCAGCTATTGGACCAGATAGATGACCATGCTTACAAGGTAATTTCCTACACCTTTTTATTCAAGTCAAGCTAGCTTCCATAAACGGGACCTCCCATTTTTACTCTTGGAAGACTACTTCTCCCTATTTTATCTCTCACTATTCTCACTCACCAGGCATGGCAAAATCAAGCTGAAATTGAGATCCAGCCTCCATCACTGTAGCGGAAGACCCATGCCTGATTTCAGAGCAATAATTCTTGCTTGCTTGGGGTCTATATATATTGAAAATAGTCTTACAATATGTGAAGTAATATGGAGAGAAGGGGTGAATACTAATGCCTGGCGTCTATGAAACAACACCAGAGAAGTAAGAGCCTCATAATATATAAAAATTTTGACCATAACTTGAATTAAAAAAAAAAATGTGATGGCCACTTGGCCCCACCCATAAAGCAAAAGCCTAGAAAACAAATCTATCCCTTGTGCAAAACGTAATTTGTAGTGCTTTCTTCACTTCCCAAGGTTACTTGCAACCATTACACTATTTTTTTGTCTACTTTCTTCCTCATTTAGTCATGATAGTGCTATTTTCCTACAGGGTGTATTTATTTCACCCATTAAGTCTAGTTGAAATTAGGTTGCTTTAAGTAAGTATTTCCATTGGATAAGTCTTCTATAAAATTGAATTGAGAATACCCTAGTGGGCAAATGGGAGGACTCATGTCAAAGTAGCTATAAATTACTATCTTTAACTGATTTCACCACACTTTAGTAGGTCGGAGACCAAGGATGTTACATGTTAACTTCAATCTTTTAAGTAAATATATCATTTATTAATTTCTTCACAAATTAGTGCAATTTTAAGGTTATAAACTTGGCACTGATTCATGCATTATTATCCAAAATAGGATTAACTTTAGTTCAAAATAGGATCACTTAGTAGCTTTGAATTGTTTTTAGGTATACATGTATCTATAGAAAGTTATCTAATCTAATTTATTTTGATCGATATTTCCATATTATGAGTACGGGAATCAATGATTTTATAATAAGTTCATAGTATTTTTTTGATCGAGAAATTTGAATTCATATAATTTATAACGTATAACTATAAGTCAGGTGAAGGAAATTTTTTTAAAGTGATTATGTCAAGAATTTAAATAATTAATGAATCAAATAAGAGATTAGAACATAATTAGTATGTGGAAAGGATATTCACATATATCTTATTCTATCACGATTTATAAATTTTAATTTGAATTTCTTTTTTTTAAGAAATCAATTTATTTGATTTGATGAAAGAGAAAATTCGAACTCAACTCTTTAATAAAGGCATACATGGGCTACCAGTAACAAATACAAACATACTAATAATACGATTAACAAGATTAATATTCTGGGTTTAGCACCTTGAGGTTTACCCTTTTTTGTCTAGCCCGCAGCTTTGGTTTGGTATTCCAGCATCATGAATCTACATGGAGCTCACGGGCCATTGCAGTTATTATTGTTGCTTCAACATTCAATATTGAAATATCAATGGACTTTTTAATGTAAGATGACCTTGTCTCTATATGCTAAATAAAAATCATAAAACAGTCCTTAATTGCTCTAAAGAAATATCAAAATTGCAAGGACAATCTTTCAACTCAGAAAAAGAAGAAGAAACAACAAAAACATGAACATGATCATGTAGATAAAAGGAAGACACGACAACTGTTGATCATGTGTTTCTGTTCCCATGAACATCAAAACTAACTTACCTAGGCTGACCAAAAAACATTGAAACAATTTCATATTTCGAGTTCAGAGAGCTTCATCGAATCACCCTTTGTTGATTGTGACGACGTTTGCAATCATATGGCTAAACTCTTAGACCATCTTTGGTTGAAACAGCTGAGCCATCACCATCAGGGTCGTCATTGTGTCTCCTTGATGGACCTGAAGGGGGAATGGGGACGCCTTTGGTGAGGAGATTGAAGGAAACTTTGCTGAAGTTGATCATCTTATCTTTCTGTTTGCTTCTGAGGCTTAAATCATGGATTCTGTATACAGCTCCATCGCTCACAGGAAGGAGAAGGAGAAGTGACAAAAACAAGAGGGAAGAAATGGCTAGGATAATCTGTCTGGTAGCCATTGAAAAAACAGAAGTACCAATGAATGATGGGGTTTGCTTGCAGCTTAGATTTTGTACAATGAGAATGTGAAGAGAAGTCAAAGGAGATTGGGTTTTGATTAGAGGGTGGAAATATGACTTTTATTTCTTTGTATGAAAAGCAAAGCAATCTGAGAGGATATGGCGAAATTGGGATATACATGTAGCAAAATGTCAAAGGAAAAAGTTGGGGAGTAACGGATGCTTATAGAGAAAGCAAGAGATATTTAAAAATAAAAAAAAAATAAAAGAGAGAGTTGAATTAATTGTGGGATTAAAGCAGAGGTAATAAGAGACAAATTGTAGAATTAATGAGGGAGGAAACGGGAGCGGAAGGTTGCAGGCACCCAGATACATAGAAGAAAGTCCCTTTTCAGTGTTAGGGGAATCAAATTTATATGTTTGTTACCTTATTTGGACTCTCCCTCCCTCCTTTTCTACCCCTTTATCTCCCTCTTCTATAATATAATATGATTAATTTTTCGAATCAAAATAAAATGCAGTGTATCTTTGTCTCACATAGATCGATTCTAGATTAACACTACAACAAATTATGAACAAAACTTGACCTAATCAAAAGTAATTTTTGTACATCAAAATGAATGAACTTATTAATTAAATTAATCTCTTTTCCATAATATATATATATATATATATATCATATATTTGTTCCGACGTAAAAAATTGTATCTATATTTTATCATTACTTGAAGATTTCATACAAAATTTTTTGGAATAAGAACAAAACAAAGAAAAAAAAAAGTCTAAAGCTGCGGTGAACTTTTCTTTTAAAGCTATGTCTTTCTAATATTTTTTCTTTTCTTCTATTGGGCCTGACTGAGGATGTAGAAAAGGTGAAGGGAAATTTTAAACCTTAGCCTAGTCGAGAGGAAGGAGATATGACCACTTGGTCAAGGACTAGTGGTCAACTTTACTTTTATCTACCTAATAAAGCTAGGTGGATTACTCTTGAAAACGAAAAAACAAATAATCAACCATTGGGATACAGAAGAAACAAAAGGTTTTTTTTTTGTTTTAAAGTTAAAAAGTTGTGACTATGGCTTTTATGTGAACAGAAAGTATGGGTTACTTTTATTTTGCAACTGCTATCTTCAATTTATTTCTTTTTTCTATTTTAATTTGATATTATTTTGTTATTTAATTCTTTATATAGACAATATGAATTACAATATGTGAAATTTATATATATATTGAGAACATTTCATATATTATTTGCAAAGGGACAAACATTAGTATGAAGTTGCCTTACTGATATCTTTATCTTCACAAATATATCCAGGATAAACACATTGGATACAAGGTATTAATTGAAATTAATCATGATTAATGTATGTGTTTATCTTTCTGCAAGCAATGCAAAAGGCAGTTGTTGTTTTCATTTCTTATATTTCTGTTTCATTCTCCTTCCTCAAGTCCGGGAAAATATTTTCTTTATTGAAGATGGAAGTAATACTATTGCACTTTTTGATTTTAATGAACCAGAAAGGAGCCACAAACACCTCAACAATTTGCAGAGCTTTGACAAACTGGATGTTTTGGAACATATACAACAGTGTATATGAAACATAGACTGAAGTATAATTTAAATGGAGGTAATTTTTTTTTTTTAGTTTTCCTTTTCATTAATATTTTTTGCCCTTTGAAATGTATACAAATTAGGGTTCATCACATGTGTAGTTCCATATAGAACTAAATCATCGGTCTGCAGTTTTTCTGTTCACAAAAATAATCACCTGCACATAAATCAATGCAGAAGCAGATGCCGGGAAGAAATGATTCCAAGCATCTAAGATACAGATTGAATTCCCATATAATCATCATCCGGAAGAAGTTTAAAGATTGGCACTTGACCTGTTCGTGTCATATTAGCTAATGGATGGCAGCATTGGATCCATGCCAAGTCCGGATCCTCCAGAAGTACCAGGTTCAGCATGCTTCACTCTACCAAAATAGCGGATATGGCGCAGCAGCCTGGCCAGGAAAGTGTTGTGGCAAATTGTTGAGCTATCACACACAACCGCCACATGTTTACGTGCCCTTGTTATGGCAACATTCATTCGCCTACTATCTCCCAGGAATCCGACAGCTCCTAATGTGTTTGACCGTACCTAAAACAGTAGCAGGCATTCAACATCAGTCTTAAAATTAGTCAAGCATTTCTGTCAATAATGACTCATTCAAGCAATCCATGATTGAAGCACTGATTTAGAACTTCGAATTATCACGTGGCATGTAAAGAAACTTCATACTTAGTAAACCATTAAAAGTTTTCCCCAAAAAAAAAGCATTGAATAAATAAACTATGAATGCTTTAACACAAACATAATGCCAAATTATATCAAGTAAATATAAATGGCATTAATTAGATAAACTGAATGATAGATAACAATCTTGCTGTAGGGCGTGTATGATAAGATCTGATGTACTTAGGCACTAACCACTTCCTTTAACACGCATCACCTGTAATGCAAATGCTCAAAGAAATACAAGAACACAGTTCAAGTCTGAACAATCATAATTCTGATAATACATTCCAATATTTCATAACTTGGTACTATAGAGTGAGAAAAGGAGAAAATCTTCTCTAACCCAACTGGGAAAAAAGGACAGAACATATCATTTGTCTATTCTGTTGTCATAAACTACAATGTCAATAAACTGGCATGTTAAGTTGGTGGCCATTATATCTCAAATTTATAAAGGATCACATGCTTCAAGAACTAAAGGATGTCTAACTCCCTTGAATAAATGATCTTCAAATATCTGTGTGATAAGCATGTTCATAACTTAAAGAAAAATGGACATTTTACTAGCAAATTCTACAGAGATCAGCAACTAAGACAAAAAAATCATATAAATTCAATGGGGAAGAATAATGACCTTATCTCAATTATTTCAAACAAAAAATGATAATTCATGCAAGAAAAAAATTGAACGATACCATTGATATAATTACTGCATCAGCCTCTCGCCCCTGAAAGCTATCAATTGTTGCAACCTCAACACCTGCAGCCTCAGGAAGCTCATCAAGCCTGTCCCTTAGGAGCTGTACCTGAGCAACATAAGGTGATTGGACAGCAATAGCTGTTGGGCTGACACCTGTGTGAAATATTAGAACCACAAATAATTTAACTTCATTTAGTGAGGAAATTGTGTATCTATCAGGTCCTATTGATGCTACAAAGCAAACAAGGATGTAACTTCAAAGAAAGAAAAAAAAAAACAAACAGAAAGTGAAGTGGACCATAAAATTTTCTTGAGGGAAGGCGTTGATATACCAGCCAATAAGTATTATGTAGAAGCTACTACAGAAATCGCTTTAAAACTCATGCAAAGTGAAAATCAGGGAGAGAACACTTTCTGTAAGAAGGGCTATACAAGACTGACCATCAAGTATGCTAGATATCATATACAAGAAGGTACCACAATCTTATTAATTTTCTAAATTCAAATTACAACAACAGTGCAATCACTATGTCATATACCTTTACTCTTATTCTCAGAGGTCCTCAAGGTTTTATTTTTTTGGGCCAATCATGTCTTTCATGCTCAAAGCCAAGAGTTAATTATCAGAGGTTGAAAAGAAAAGTTGACGGATGAACCATCATGACTACATGTTGAGGCAATAAAATTCTAAAAGCAGATTGATAATCATTGTGAAACTATAGAGAGATTCACCTAGCACAAAGTGATAATATTTGGCACGCAAGAAAATCCAGATTCTCAATTTTGTACTGCAGTTTATAGATGCTATTCAACAGATAATACATGTAGGAGACATCTGATAGTAGAGATGCCAAAGCATGTTGCTTGCTCATGCACCACACAAAATATACAGCTCAACTCTTACAAAAAAGTGTCTTGATATATGCCTAGACAGAAGGAATTTTCTTCACAAGAGCAGCAGGTTATGAACTCCTGATTGACGTATAAGGACAAAATAATCACCCAGACAATGGAAGATGATCATGTTCATATATGGTTTTTTTAAAGGCATGTTCATATGTGTACATATATGTTGCCCTCTAACATTTCCAAACCCATTATAATTTGAACATTTGTACTACGATCCAAATGTAAAACTTGAATAAAAATGCATCAGTAAGGGACTTGAGATGTAATTCAACTTGTTATCCAAATATCCATGAGAACACAAAAAAGCACTGTCAAAAAATGCAGAATGAAGAAAGGAGTCATTTACCTGCATAGATCAGATAAAAGACATGTTGAACAACAATATCTGCTTCCCCTTCATTGTAAAATGATCCTGTGCCCACTGGATCTAAATGCTCTTCACAGCCAACTGACAAACTTCCATATGGCATTCTTGTATCAAGTAACAACAATGGACATTGTGTTATCCATGTAGGCTGCAATAATGTAACAAAATTGTCAAAACTCGAACCTTTTCCTTATCTTCCTTTCCCAACCCCAACCCCAACCCCAACCCACCCCACAAGAAATATATAATTAAAAGTGCCAAGAACTCAAGAAATTAGAATCCTAAACCTTCTTAAAGAAAAGCTTTGGATTAACAGAATTTTTATTCCCAGTGTACAGGTGTAGTGTCACAATTATTAGTATAAATCATCATGCTTTTTTTTTCTTTGTTATCAGAAAGCAAAACCATATTAAATATCAAGCACACAGTGGAAAGCCATACAAGCATAAAAGTCATATGAGAGAAAGGGGAAAGAAAAAGAGAAGAGAACACAAATTCAGATAAAAAAAATGTATGGTAAGAAAAAGAGAAGTTCAGATCATTAGAACTTAAAATATCAATTAGATAAAAATATTGTGCTCTCTCAACATTTAATTAGTTTCAAGAGTTTTGTTCTTTAGCATTTCCAGTAGCCACTATTTCATTTATAAGCAGGATTTATCAACGGAGTGTTGTTGAGAATTTTAGGTAACCAAACGACTAAATGTTATGGCAGGTGGAAGAAGCTCAAAACATTAAGAAAGATCTAAATCACATCCAACAACAGGGTAGATCTATGCTCCAATTTATAGAATGAATAAGAAGTGATGGGTGTCATACCTTGACAAATGGAGAATCAACAAGAAGATGAGATCCGACAGAAGGAGAGGATTTCAGTTCTCCATCATACATCTCCTTCGAAGCCCAACTGGCTATTGCATCATTCATTCGGTACTGACTTGTTAACATGGTAGCAAGAACACCTTCGTGCATAGTTGCAGCTCTCTCCAGTAAAGATACTCCAAGGCCACCATCTAAAGCTTTTCTAGACAAAATTACTGGAGCAAGTTGGCATTGATCACCAGCAAGTATACAACGTTTCCCCTGAAATATTGGGATCCAACAAGAGGGTTCAATTGCCTGCCCAGCTTCATCGATTACAACCAAGTCAAAAGTATCCATCCTTCGGATCAGTGGATCAGCTGCTCCAGTGTTGGTAGAAAGCACCACCTGTGCACTTGACAGTACTTCCCTCACAGTCTCCTTCTCCTTCTTCTTTAGTGCCTTGCCAAGCTGCTTTAAAAGTTGGCGGATGCCAGCAGCTAAAGAATCATCCTTTAAACAATGTCGAAGGTCTTTTCTTAGATCTGACTTCTTCCTTTCAAACTCAGCTAGGTAATCTGCAAGCTTAGAATTTACAATCTCAACCAAAGACTTTGAAGCTACAGCTGAAGAAATACGTGCTGGATTTCCAACCCGTACTATGTTCAATCCAGTATTAGAAAGTTTCTCAACCATGTTGTCAACAGCTGCATTAGTAGGCGCTGTTACTAGCACCCTTTCACCTTGCTGGACAGCAAGTGCTATAACTTCCTTAAGCAAACCTGTCTTTCCAGTGCCAGGAGGTCCTTGGACAACCAAAATGGGTCGCTTCTTGTTTAAACCTAAGGCAATTGCTCTTTGCTGGGAATCATCAAATATTCCATTCTGTAACAATCCATCCAGCTTTGCTTCATTCCAGTCTGCAAAACTATTCTTCTCCAACCATGTCACATCTTCTGTGTCTCCAAACAGTGTTGCCACAACAGCAATTGAAGGGTTTTTCTTTTGTAAACCGTTCTTCTGAAGCAGCATCAAGGCTTCACAATTGCGCTACAAAAAACCCATAAGAGGCAGTTAATGACATAGTAAGCATTTATGCAAACAGAAGCAAACAGGAAAGTGAATTAGCTGAAGCAGGCTAAAATAGAAACTATTAAAAAGAGGCTGAAACATTCGTCTGGATTTAGTACTGATAAAAACTAACTCAAAAGTTAAGAAAAGTCTTCTTCTATGAGACAAATCCTTATAGCATGGGGCAGACTGAATCATTCAACACATACAATCTCATACCAACCTCAGTAAAAAAAGTGCGTAGCCCATGCCAATAACTGCACCTTGAAATCACCAGAAAAAAGATTAGAAAATCTATAGAAATTTTCTTGGGTCAATTGAGTTTCAATATAGCCAATTTGCATTAGCAAATCTATTGGTTTCACTATACAATTTGTATGCTACCATCAGGAAAGAGGGAGAAAAGTCTTCAAGATGCTACTAAAGGCATTCATAAGCAAATAACAAGGTTTACATTGTGCCACCATCTTGTGTAGAGATCAAGAAACCTACATTACATGTTGATCTAGCATTGGGTCTAATCCCAAAAACTACTAAATAAGTTCCATCAAACATTACGGTTTTCTCGCTTTTTGCAATCCCTCATACCTCTGAAAGGAGAGGTTTGTGTTTCACTTGTTCAGTATGATGGCTCTTGGGCAGATCCAACTACAAATCACCTAGATTCGCTAGTCATGTAAGGAAGGATAGCTTCAGTGTTCCTTAAATAAAATGAAGAAACCAGTTATTTCATTAGGTCACCACAGAGAAGGATGGATAATAGAGTTACAGAATCTATTCTCTAAGCATTATGAGCATAATAACAGATTACAACAAGTGGAAAAAATAATATGTAATCCAGAAAGCATCTCAGAAATATTATAGCCAGAACCCACTAAAATCTCTATGGAACTCCAAAAGCAATACACTGAGACAAAACAAGGTACAGAACCTTAGCAATATGGCTTCATGTAAATATTATTAAAGGAACATCTATTTCCTGACATTTTAAAATAATTTCCTTCAATTTCATGACATTTCAAAAGCATCACAAGAAAGCATCAATATCATCTAACTAGTTCAGAGTATAGCCAATAAAGGTAGGAATGAACTTATACTGGTCAAGCAAAAATTTTAAATACAACTAAGAATTATTAAATATACTAGTAGTTCTAAAACTAATCTTTTCATAATCCAGGAAATGTAACAGCAATATATGAAAAAATTAAATGCATCTATCAAATACCTCATATGTGAGTGCATCAGCCAATCCTTGAATACGATCAATGCGCACATTTTTTCCAAAGAACTTAGAGAAAGTGGGATCACCATGACGAGACTCCAGAGCCACACTGATGCTACAACCATCCTCCCCAAGGTTGTCAACAAATCCTTGCATGCAAGAAGTAGCACCTGCTCCCCTGCTGTCACAAATCCTCACACAGACCATATCTCCAGGAGACAGGGTAGTAGGTGGCAGTCGGTGATTACCTTCAACCCTCAATAGCACCAAATGCATTCCACCTAATCCTGTGCAGATCACAGTTCCAAAGGTATCACCAAACCAAACCACTATTTTTGCTACAAACTCCTAAATTACATAAAAGACCAAATGAAGGTACAAACACAGGGCTTATCAACCTCATATAAAAGAAGCAACTATTTGTAATAAAAATAAATTAGTAGTAACCTGTTGATGTGCTAACAGCATTCAAATTGCAGATGGTGTCACAAAGTTCTTGCTGAGCCTGACCATGACTAACCAAGAACTCAATAGGCTTTGATGAATCAGAACCTTCATCAGGTGTAGGGACAGCATTCAACTCCTCCTGGGTGAATTCCAATTCTGCATCCCTCTCTATCCGAAGGAGCTCTGACATCTGCTTTGTGAACTCATCAATCCTACCCTGCATGGCCTTAGCCTTCTCCAGATCCATTCCCAAAACACCTTGAACAGGCTTTGGCTGTTCAATCTTTCGAGCAATTGCCCTATGCTGAGCTGCAAATCCACCATTCCCAGCTCAAACTCACTCTTTAACCAAACTATTAAATTTATTAACTAGCATATTCCAAGCATTATATTAAAACACGTAACTTATGCTATAATTAACCTACAAATAAAGTTGGACAAGAAAATAGTTCCAGCCATAAGGGGTAAAAAAAACCTGAATTTGCAAGCTCCTTAAGCAGCGTCCAAGACTCTGTCTCTCTCCAATCTTCAACCACAGAGTTCTTCTGCAACTCTTGAAGAACATTCCTCAATTCCCTCTGGAAATGGTCAAACAAAGTTGGATAATGTGTACAAGCCTTCAAACAAATTGCTTCAAGTCCAAGAGGTATAGGAATGGCATTGAGATAAGGTTGTGCCTGGATCACAAAAGTCAATCCAGGCCCCATCCTTTGCCTCAACTCCAAAAACTCCCCTTGCAACTCTGCTGTCACAAAATCTGAAGCCATTGCCTTCATCCCTTCACTAATCCACCTAACTACCCTCTTCCCAAGATCCCTTCTCCCCAAAGGATCCCCATTTTGATACAAAGTTCTAACATTTACAGCCTTAGTCTTTTTAACCTTCTGTTGCTTTTGGTCCTTCAACAACCCCAGTTCTTCCACTATTATCTTTGTACTACTAAAACTACTACTAGGCCTAGAAGTAGACTTCGAAGAAATACCATTGTTATCGTTTTCGCTGATCTTTGGCTTGCTGGCAACATTGCTTTTGCTTCTAGGCTTCTTCTTTGTAGCAGTAGTAAACTTTCTGCTACTTGGACTGCTGCTGCTACTACCATTGCAAACAAGCTGCTTGGACTGAAATTTTGTTGAAGGGTAATTATATTTATGACCAACAAATAAACAAATAGATTTCACAGGAGAAGAAGAAGAAGAAGAGAAAGAGAGTGGCAAAGAACTCGAAAAGCTACTCCTTTGAGCACTCAAAGCCAATGTTCTTGTTGTTGTTGAAGGAATGGTTCCACAAAACAAGCATGAGGCTTTTTCCATTTCACTTGCAAAAAACTTGTTTATTTTCCAAGACAAAATCCCACATCATAGCGCCAAAAATCAAGCTTCCATTTTTTTCCCCTTCTCTCTTAGCCCCTCTCAAGAATGATTCTTTATGGAATCTTCAATATAAATATACTCTGGAGATTCTTCTGGCTTTGTTTTTGAGTAAGAAGAAATGGGTTTTTGAATTTGAGCCTCAAAATGGATTTGAGGTGAAGAATGAGAAGAAAAAATAGACTTTTTTTGTAACCTTTTTTCTTATGAATGTACTGCAAAAATACAGTCATGCACCGGAGAGAGAGAGAGAGAGTGAGGGACTTGAACAACGAAGATATTTGAGGGGTCAAAATCAAAGGAGGAGATCTAAGAGAGAGTGTTTTGATTGGCTACAAGTGATTGTGTGGAGAGGGACTGTGGGGTAAACGTGTTCTATTGCTGTTCTATCCTTTCTCTGTTACGTTTTATGTTTTGTTCTGTGGTGAAAGCTATTTGTGGTAAACACAACATTTATGGAAACAATTTCACGTGGAAGGTAGACGTGTGCTCGTCTCAGCCATGGAAATATTGTTCTTGAAAATTCCTTTTCTATTTGGAGAAGTCAAAGATTCATGACATACGGGACATGCGAATCTTGATTTGAGAAAAATATCATATCTTTGAGTTTTAATCACCCGCTGGGTTTGTTGAAAAAATAAATATAAAAAAATATAAATAGAAATAGAGGATTGGCTTTTAAAAGTATAGTAGAGACCTTCGGCCAATTATCTATTTTTTTATTTTTCTTTATATTGTTTTTAAATAGTTTTTCTACATAATATTATAAAATATTTCTAAATTATTTAAAGAAATTAAAATAATTACATTTAATTAAGTCTCTCTTAAGTTATTTTGAGTCAAAAAATTCTTATGATTAACAATTGATTATTTATAATTAATTAAAATATTATTTATCATATTTATATTTACATAATACTGACGTGAAAAGTAAAAAAAATTATATAATCATATTATTATACTATATCAATTTATCATATTATTATTTATTATGACATATTAAAATATCATAATAATATCATGTAATATAAAAAGATAAATGACATTTTCATTAATAATATTTAATTGACTAATAGTCATAAAAATTTATTTAACTTAAATAAAAATATAAATATTTCATGAAATGTAATAAAAATAAAAATTTATTTAAATTTCTTCAAATAAATTTAATTTTTTAAATATTACATCAAATATCAACTATCATCTAATCCTAAACTTGATAATTTTGGATACCGCAAGTTAACACAACATGAGAAGATATGGGATTAAACAAATTTGAGTTTAGCCTTAACTTATTTCGTTTCTAATCGTATTTGACATTAACATGTTAGACATGAATAATACGTTTAAAATATATTTAATTAATCATGTTAATCATGTTTAAATATAGATACATGACACGTTTATCAACATGTTAAAAATTAATAATCAAAGATTATTTTAACCATCCTTAAATAATTTTAAAAAAATATTTTAACAAGTTTTTTAAATTTTATAAAAATAATAATATAATCATACTATATCCAAATTCTAATTTTGAGCTTTTGCTTTGTGATCATTTTGAAACATTTTTGATATTATTAGTATTTTAAGATTAAATGTTAATGATGAGTTTTATCGTATTATGTGATAATAAATTTTGTGTATGTTATTTATATTATATTGTATTATATTAGATATTATTATTATTATTTTATTTTATTATAATTATTAATTTTAAATTAAATAATAAAATTATATTTAAATAGTATTTTTATTTAATCATGGTAAACGTGTTATTAATGATATCGTGTCTTATATTGACACATTTAATAAATATATTCATCGTATTATATCGTGTTATATGATTATTAAATATATATATTTTAAATTTAAAATATAAATATTATTAATATTTGATTTATATTTAACTTTAATATATTTTGTATTTAATCATTTCTAACGAATTTAAAACATAAAACACGTATTACCAAATCTCGGCTAAACGTAAAATCATTATTGTCAATTTCAAATCGGAAAATCCAACTTCAAGCCCAATTATCACCTAAGGTTTGGGCCTTGGACCCAACAACAGCTGATCAGCTCTACCCAAAACAAAGCTTAACCTTTTTGGGCAACTTGCTGAAATGACGCCACGTGGATATCACCCTAGCTGAGTTAGTGTCAGTAGCAAAACCGAATGAAAATCTTAAAAACACCCAAAACGATTTGCGGCAAAACATAAACTGAAAACACAAACTGAAAACCAGACCGCTTCGAAGACAAAAAAAAAAAAAAAAAACAAAGGAAAACAGACGAAAGTGAAAAAGAGCCATGAAGTTATTTGACGCTCATTGCCACCTTCAAGATCCCAGAATTCTCAACAAAGCACCCAAGCTCATTTCCACAGCTTTGGACTCTGGGGTCCTTAATTTTGCTGTTAATGGTGTCTCTGAGGTTGCTTCTTTTGCAACAATTTATATGTTTTTTACTTTGTTTCTCCCAATCAATTTTGTGTTTTTATTTGATTTTTTATTCTTTATGATAATATTGAACTTGGGGTATCTGTTGACATGCATAGAGAGATTGGCATTTGGTCAAAGAAATGGGAGATAAGTATCCATCTGTTATTCCTTGCTTTGGGGTTCATCCTTGGTAAAGTCAAGTGAATAGTTCATATAGCTTTTAAGAAAATTCAATTTTGTTTCCTTTTAAAGTTTTTGTTTTTTTGTTTTGCAGGTATGTTGCAGAGAGAAGTCCGAGTTGGTTCAGTACTCTTAAGGAATTCTTTGAGACCACTCCTTCTGCTGCTGTTGGAGAGGTAAATTTCTTTTTTTCTTTAATTTAATTTAATTTAATTTCACATCTAATTAAGGGTATTTAGTATTTTGTTATTTAGGTTTATGAGTGAATAGTTCTGACTTTTAATGTCTAGTTTAACTTAGCTTTTCAAATATCATATTGTTTTTAAAGAAAAAACCTTTAAAATAAAAGGTTTCAGACAATGACAAAGTGGGATAGTAGATTCTTATACTATTTCTACTTGAATTTGCGGTACCTCTAACAAGAACATGCTTTTGGGCTTTTTCAGATTGGTTTAGACAAAGGTTCAAGAGGCAGGGAGATTGATTTTAATGATCAGGTTTTCAATGTCCTTGTTGTTTTCTTGCTACTCGATTGCCGTTTATTTTCTGTTACAGTTTTACATATAACTGCTTCTTATAGATGAGGCTTCTTCTTTCTCTGGTGTCATTACTTCCATTCCTTACCTGGTGTGAGTGCATGTATATTAGTGTCAGAAAGGGTCATTTCATATGTAAAAGGAAAGACTCAAAGTAATACATCCTGTATAGATGTCACTGCCTCATACTTGCTTTAATTGTCAAGTGAAATTATCTGTTAGCAGACATGTAAATGAAATTTAGTTAAGCAAAGCAACAGTTGGAGAACTCATGTGCTAATTGGATTTTCACAATCATGCAAAGATATTCAGGCTATCTGCAACTTTTTGGGACCTCTTAGCAGGCTTAAGAAAATCTTTTTCCTTTTTTTTTTGTCATTTTAAATGGATTAAATATTGGTTCACTTTCTTATGATGTTTCGTAGGCATTTTCTAAAAGCTTTCTGAGTTATTAAGTTCTATCTTCCAGATTGAAGTATTTCGGCAGCAGCTAGAGCTTGCAAAAGAGTTGAAAAAACCAGCATCTGTCCATTGTGTTCGTGCATTTGGTGATCTTCTTCAGATAATGAAGTATGGAATTCATGTTTTTTGATTTTCTTGAAAATATTTTATCTTAATTAAATTATTGGGGAACATTCAGAAAATGGTGGTTCAGTGCAATTTATCTAAGATAGGGGTAGTTAGCAGATAGCAAATAATGGTAGGAAGGGAAGCAAGCTTTAAGAAACAATTGCCTAAGGTTTTCACTGTCGGTATCTTAGGTAGAAGTGCATATTTAAATTTGGTTGGAACCGTGGCAGATTTTTCCTTTCAATTTTTGGCAGCCCTGTGCAAATGACTGTTTCTTTTTGTGCAATCTTCGCTTTGATTGAGGAACAGGTTTGATGGAGTTGCATAATCCTAAATGTGGCACTATAATAAGTTTCATCATATTCACTAAGTTTTCTCACCATTTGCTCTTTTCTCTGAGCAAATATCTATAGACCCTATCGAAATTACCTTTAAATATGAATTTTGTTTTATCTGTCTGTTCTTTATGACCAGATAGGGGAGAAAGAGGAAAATTCGGGTGTCTATCCGTATGAAGTGAAACTTGAAAATGTTTCACTTCTTTTTACCTCGAGAGTTTTTGTCTATTAATGGCATGCTGGCATGAATCCTATATGTTTTATCTTCCTAAAAGAGTAATAGCCGTCTGGGTACTATATTTAGCATCATGGGACTAAGAATACTGGTCTGGTTTGATGGTACCAGACTGTATGTACCCCTTTCAGGTAAAGCCAATATTCATCAACCATATTTTCTGTTTCGCTATTTGTTTTGGGATGCATTCGTCATTTTCGGTGGTATCAACAGATTCTGGTGGCGCCGGTCAAAACGATGAATTTTGGTTAGTACAGAACTGTATGATTCTTCTTATTGTCTTAGTCAAAACCTTTATAGTTTTCAGCTCAACCGACCTCGTTCTCTCTCTTTGAGGAAATGATATGTTTGGTTTGGAGCTAATACATTGATGTGCTTAAGTTACGAAGAGTGAAGACCACATTTCTTCATCTGCTTAGAACCTAGACAATTTCTTTCTAGTTAATTTCCATCTTTATTCTTATCTTTTGGCCCATTGCACTGGCTGTAGGCTTAGTTTCTAAAAAGAAATGTGGGCCTTATTATGGTCAGCTTAGTATCTTGAAAAGATATTTTTTATTATCTAGTTTAACTGTTTAATTGATTTTAGAATTTTATGCTCTCATATAAATTCAAAATTGGATCAACTTTTACTGATTTTTTATTATCATCATGATAAACTTTTGTTTATATCATATATTTATCAACATAATTTTTATTTATAGTGATTTAATTAAACTACTTACATATATAATAAATTTAAAATATATATCATTAAATACCGGTAAATCCGAAACGTACATCAAAACACATCAGTACCTGTGTGTACCATTTTAAGAGAGAAATTGATACACTTACTGGTACAGTAATGACAACCTTGCTTTGTACCGGTCGATTCACAGCCTCTATTCACTTCTTCATATTTAGTGTTCAGGGACTTCTGATGTTTTGCAGGTCATGCTGGTATTTAGATCTACTGAATTTTCATAGTTTAATACTTAAATATTGTCAATGTGTTGTTGGGTTTATTTTTTTTATGCCTATGGTTGTTGGTATCATGCCTTTCAAATGCCTTCAGCATTCATGTTATCTTGCTACTTGCTTACTGATGTACTTGTAACATGCTCTAGCCATTATTGTATATGTGTTTTCTTACCAAGATGAATTTATTTCCCCAGAGATATTGGGCCGTTCCCAGATGGCGTCATTCTTCATTCTTACCTAGGTTCTGCAGAGATGGTTCCTGAATTTGCCAAATCTGGTGCTTACTTTTCACTGTCAGGATATGTTATGCCTATGAAAACTCAGAAGGCCAAGAAAATGCTAAAGGCGGTTAGTTCACCAGGTTCATTGTTCTATGGATGTGACAAAGTATTTAGCCTTCTTATATCTGAAACTCCTGCAGATACCTTCTGAAAGGATATTATTAGAGTCAGATGCACCTGATGCACTTCCAAATTCAGAGTTGGGCTCTCTGTTTTTGGTTGACGAAGATCCTTCCCTCCCTCAAGAGCATTTTGCTCAAGGGAGAAGTTCAGCTTCAAATGTTAGCACTCCATCTGATCATCAGTTCCTAGCTTCAAGAGATGCTTCAGCATTGCCAAAAGAGATGCTTAATCACCCGGCAAACATTCATAATGTATGCTTTCTACTAAAGTTGAAGGGTGTCTTTTATGTGTATACTTGCATCCTGCTCATATCTTTTTCCCGATCTCTTACATACAACACATTTTCTTATAGAAAACAAAAGAATTATAAAGGAAATTAATTCAAACAAATCTAATATGAGACAATGCCCATCATCTCTAGTAATTACTGCACTACAATTATAAGTTCATGTGTTGTTTGCTCTAGAAGATGGAAGTTTAAGGTCAAAAGAGCCCTCAAATAGGCAATGCCAGTGAGGTGGGTCATTCTTCATGAAGAAAGATTTGATTATTGCTTTTGAGACCGGTATTTAAATTTGCTTGAGGTGCCATTGAGTGTTGACCACATATTATTCTGTGTTTCTTTGCCCTATTTGCCTGGCATGTATTCGGATATGCACTTGAGAGCATCACATATGTAACATATGGACAATTTTTGTTACTTCCAGGTGCTCGATTATGTTGCATCTTTGCTGGAAATGAGAAAGGAAGAACTTGCAGAATTAAGCTACAGAAATGCAGTCCAATTGTTTTCTTATCAAGGTTCAAAAGTTCCCTTGGGATGATAGATCCGTGTCTTCTCTTTTTCAGCACTGGGAACATGTTCTTGTACCATTTGTGCATCTTGCAAATGTGAAATACCTCAGTACCTGCTAATGTGTTTATAGAAAATCTTGTACCATTTTGTGCATTTTGAGACTTCTAACTTGTACGAGCTCTTCATACATAATCATAGCCATCTTTTTTCCCTTCTCATTTTCATTTTTATTGACTTGTGGATTTATTTTGTGCACTTTAAGATTCCTTTCTTCAAATCCAAATGAAATTATGCATTTGCTATTGCATAACCCACTCTCTAAGATGACTATTTCTTTCAATGCCAAATACAAGAACATTACTTGCTCTAGGAATAACATAGATTGCAATTGCATAAACTTATGATTACTGGGTTGACAAAAATAAAAGTATCTCATAGTAAAGATTTTTCTACATATTTGTAATACTTATTATTTATTAAGTATTTCGTTACTTTTGTCCGTTTTTAGTTATATTTTAAAAAACTGATTTCTTAAAAATTAAATAAAATTTTATTACCTTTTTAAAAAAATTAAAAAAAAAAAACGATAACGGTTACTAACTAACTCTATGCTTCTGTAAAATACCTATTACTATCTTCCATCGAAAATTATAAAGATTCTTATTTTACTAATTATTTTCATTTTAGATAAAAAAAAATTGACGATTTCTTATCCATTACTCACTCACTACTTCGATTATATACATGTTACCACATACCTTTCTTTTGGTTTCTTCACAAAATATATAGCCCACTCTTCGACCTTTAGACACGACATTAATGTTTAGTTTAGGCCTACTCTTCAACTTTGTGCTAAATAATCAAAGGTGGCTCTTAATTTTCATTACTTTCAGCATTCTAATTCATTGTTGATTTTGTTCATATCCAGAAAAGCAAACCAAACCAATCCTTAATCATGAACTTTTAGCTTAGCTTATGTAGATAATTTCCAATTTTATAATTTCTACTGCAATGCACTGCTCTGAGGCCAAGGTATAGGGTTTGTCAGGAGGAAGATGAGAGTCAGATTGTTGCCTATCCTTCTCTTCTCATCATACTTGCATTCCATACCTTCTTTTTTTCATATATTGAATTTTAATCTATATGTAAATAAAAACTTACATATCTTTTGAGCACAAGTATGTTCAATCTCTCCGATATTCCATTGGAGGTCAGGTTCTGGTTTCTACCACCTTTTGACTGCCACTTTATCGGTTCATTCTGGTCAAGTGTAACAAGAGTGCCCTTATGTATCCTTGGCGCCGCATGAAGTCCAGTCCTTTTTCTTATCATATTTCTAGCTTGGATATCGAAAGTATCATATCATGATTAAGCTGCTATGATCAGCATCTTCATTAATATGTTTTCAAACATTCATATTAAGGGCATCAACAGAAAATAACTGGATATTGACCAAGAAATGAATTTAGGTTTATTACAGTCTAAGGTAGAACTAGATGGTAGATTGAATACCTCAGAAATTTTAATCCATTGATCTACATGCATAGATTAAGTTTCTATATTATCAACATCTCAATAGTAATATCATTAGACAAAATTTTCGTGAAATCTAAAAATAATTACGCATAAATGAAATACATCAAATGATAAGAACCAGCTGTTCAGCCAATTATTTATTCATGATGTTTATGTCAGAAATTCTAAAGTACTTGATTTAATTTTATGCTCTTTGCATGATGACATATAATTAACTTATTGGATTCATATTCAACCAAATGGCTCATATATATTTGATGCAGTACTGCGTACTAATTAATGAAGAAGTCTATAACTTTTTTTGAGTGTTGCAAATGGTTTATGAAGGTTAATTTTCATTGATGTACTAAATATGATAAATATATCATCTCTTTAAATAATCAACTATAGATATTTTATAAAATGATTTTGATAAACCTATTGCTCATATTTACATGCGAGAAAAAATTGAAAGGGTTTACGATCACTTATTTACATTTTATGTTGATTTGGCTTATATATATATATATATGCATGCTCAATTAAAAACAATTTTATTTAATATTAACGATTAATACAGATTTTGATAAACAAAAGGATTACAAGAACACACCATAAGGAGAGAATTGAAACAACACCCAATAACATAAATCATAAAAAACAAGAATTCGATCAATGCCCAACACCCAGACAAGATAATTGTTTGTCGCAATTTAAAACTCAGGATATGTGATTTGACTTTGTTTTACTCTTTTTTAGCGGATGCAGTACAAGTTTTGATTGTAAAGCCAACACTAATCTATAATCTTTTTGCAAATGAGTCTGTTTGGACAGTTTAATAATCAAATACTAGAAATCTGAAATGGAGAGAATATCGATATCAATTGATATGAAGATAATAATCATGATGATTGAATCTTAGGGAATTTGTTTAGGTACATTAGTTTCAAGGGGTGATTATGAACAAGAAAAGAAAATGTAAATAGCTTAAAATAGAACATAAAAACATGCAATAAGAACATCCCTTAGACATAACAATTAATACAAACAGACAAACATTGGAACTGTGATACACATAGATGTTTTTCCTAAGGGAAAAAGGCATTGGGGTTGTTATCCCCAAATGAGAACACCGAATCAAGTCTCATGTTCTCTGGTGAATGCATCAGGTCCTTGATCAACTGTTGCCTCTGCTCTGTTTCTGGGCTCACCTCACGCTCTGGACTTTCTACATGCACCTTCTCTCCGCTCTTCAGCATCGCTTCTGGTGTTGCCATTGTTGCTGATGCTGATGCTGCTGCTACGGACCCTTGGGAATGAGATGCTTTGGTAAGCATATAAATCCTCCTGTCAATATCCTTCATGTTTTGCTCCAGCAGCCACCCGAGGTCATTCAAATCCATCATGTTCAAATTCTCTAACCCTTGTCCACCCAGGCATTGGAACATGACTTGTGTGATCTCCTTCTCGCGATTGTCCCTGCACTGTCTCTTGAGCTGTTTGTTGGCTAGTTCGATCCTTTGCTTAAGCAAACTCTCTTGGCTCATCATCTCCACGCTTTGATCCATCTTAGGCATCTTTTTAAACTTCGAGAGCACGCGTTGGGCTTCTGTAGGAGATGGCCAAACATCAGGTTGAGTGTTATAAGGACTGTAAATAATCACAGAAGCATCTATCCCACAAAGGGTACTTAGTTCGCTCGCCTTCTTCAACAGACCCTTCTTTCTTTTCCTAAAGGTAGCTTTTCTTGCAGAATCTTTGGTGATGTAGGAAATCTTCACCTTACTTCTAGTCATGGCTACCTAGAGAGCAAAGAATTGGAATTGAAAGCTTTTTATGCACTTCCTACCCAAACAGCCTATGCTATATATAGAGATGAAGAGATTCCATTGTTCCTATCACAAAATTATAGTGGTGTTGGTCCTTATTGTATATAGTAATATGGACTTAAAAGGAAAGAAAAAACTATCAGGGCACCCCTTGAATTTCGTCAGGAAAAACAAATCTAGTCTTTTATTTGAAGTGGATTGATGCAAACGTTGGCAAAATATCTTTACGGAGGGAGTGAAAATTTGCTCAAAGGATATGAAGAGATCTCAGTCTAAGGATATCACAACTGTAATTTGACAAACAAAATTCAATTGGATGAGGTTTCGTCTTACCTAAGACATGATGATTCTTGTTTCCATGATAAGATCTAGCATGAATCATAAAATGTTTTGTAGTCTTATTCATCCATTCATACACATTTGGTATTTTGTTTTTTTATTGCTAATTTTGGTAATTATAGATCACACATTGAATGGTGGTAATTAAGAAAGGATAGGAAGATCAATAATGTCAATCCCATTAGTGTAAAAAGATGCTCTTGTTTAGACAAAAATTACATGGAGACAAATGTTTAATTGGTCATTATCATTAGGATGATTTAAGGAGAAATAATTCGTGTTATAATTTGATATGGGATCCCATAATCAATTTTGGGATGTAACTAGCATTAAAGAGTTAAGTTAGAGTTCCGTCATTAATTTGAACAAGATTAATCTGATCCATCTGATTTAGATTCCTAATTTGTAACACGTCTAAGGAAAAGCTAAATTATTAATATATAATATTAGATATGAATTAATTGATAGACAATACTTTTTTAGTATGTTTTCTTTTTACCTTCATTTACATAAATTTTTATTTTTAATTTCCAAAAAGTAAAAAGTAAATTTGAAATATAAAAAAAGTTTTTTTTTTTAAAAAAAAGGGTTCGAAAATGCTGTAATCTTGAAACTTCAAAGATACATAAATAGTATGTAGCATATTTCAATTACATTTTTTGCAACTTAATTTGTCTAATATTTAATAAGGAATGTAAGGTGAATAATAAGGAACGTAATGTGGTGTATTTTTTTCCTAAAATGGTAAGAGGATGGGTGTTTAGATTTTTTTATAATCAAAACATATTTTGCTCTTTCGTAATTTACACCAACAATTTATTTTTGTGTATGCATGGTGTAGGCAAACAAGGTTTTTGTTATAGTAGACTATAACAAAATTGAGTTATTTTGTTCAATTTTTTTTAGCTAAATACTTAAATAAGCCCCTAAACTATATTAAAAAGTCAATTAAGGTCATGCTAGTATTTAAATCTACTGAATTTTCATAGTTTCATATTTAAATATTGTCAATGTGTTGTTTGGCTTATTATTTTTATGCCTATGGTTGTTGGTATTGTGCCTTTCAAATGACTTCAGCATTCATGTTATCTAACTACTTGTTTACTGATGTACTTGTAATATTCTCTAGCCATTATTGTATACATGTTTTCTTATCAAGATGTATTTATTTCCCTAGAGATATAGGGCTTTTCCCTGAAGGCGTCATTCTTCTTTCTTACCTAGGTTCTACATGTATGGTTCTTGAATTTGCCAACTCTGGTGCTTTCTTTTGACCCTCAGGATATATTATGCCTATGAAAACATAGAAGGCAAAGAAAATGATAAACGCGGTTTCATAATTTTATTTTAGAGAATTATTTTAGTTTAATTTTGTTATTAAATGAGTTAAATTTTTAATTTTTAATTATAATTTAGTTATTTTAATTGTTTTTATAATTAGTTTAATTTTATTGAGTTATTTTAATTTTGTGTTTATTTCTTTTAAATTGGTCATTATTTATTAATTTTTATGCTTTTTTAGGATTTAAGGAAAT